TCATTGGTACTTCCTGGCTTGTGTAGTTACTAGGTAACAAAAGCTCAACACTGCCCCTAGCGTCCTGGAGCACTTCCGTTGTGTTTTGGAGTTTGCAAGTGTTTTGGAGTTTGCAAGTGTTTTGGAGTTTGCAAGTGTTTTGGAGTTTGCAAGTGCTTTGTCTCTAGGGGCCACCGTATGAATTGGCCAGGAATGCAGTTTCAAAAGTGAAACAACAATCTGAACTAGAAGGCTAACCTCCCAATTAACCTTTAATTTCAACTATAAAATTGTATAACTGAACTAATAACCAGAATTATACATATAATAGACATGTATTATCTTATTTAATAGCCCTAACTGAGGGAAACAGAAAAAGCACGAGTTTCTTCAAAAAACGTAAGCATATGATTTAAAACAAAAACAATCTGAATTCATGTTGTGTCTCAAAATAAAATTAATACATTTCTAATGATGATAACGTAAACGGAGTAACGATAGCTATTATTGTTATTACAGGTATTTTTTCATTCAGCATTTAAAAGGTAAACAAATGACCTCAAGATTGTTTGAGGTCATGAGTTTACTGAAAGTGGGTTGCAGCATAACAAAATAGCTTCACAACTGTAATCAGACTCTGTTTTAAATGCTGCTACAGTGATCGATGAAATGACTGATGCATCCTTTTAATTATTTAGTTGTTCTGACCTTTATGTAAGAACAGCTGACATCTTAGGTATTTTCATATTTGGCATCTCAAAGGTGCAGAAAATTTACACAGAAAAACATAACATCAACTTTTTTAACAGCACCCCATTATAAACTAGAAAGACGTGAGGAGACACAAACAAATACAAAAATACTGGTGGCCGGCAGTGCTACACCTCAAAGATTCTACTTCTGCTGGCAGAAGAATCTTAATAGAGCATCTTTTCAAGAGCTTGAATCACATAACGAGACAGTATCGTCGTTTCAGAGAGTCGGGGCCTCGTTTGTATTTGGTCAGGTGACATTCTGAAGAACCATATGGGCCTTGACACAGGCTTCATGTGGACATGTCCCCTTTGCTTGACACTGAAGCCCCGACAGGACTTGGAGCTTCAGACGTAACATAACTAGCTGTGATATATTCTCTCTCAGTGCAGGTACCATACCTGCTCTTTCTCATTGTGTTGCTTCATAGCCTGTTCAACTTACTAATCAAAGTTAAGGTATTTGATTCATGTGTCACAGATTCATTATCATAATATAATTTCTGTTTGTTCTCTGTTACTTACAAGGTGCAGAAAACACAACACTGATCCAAAGAATGATTAATATGTACAAAGTGTACTCTCCAGTGGATGTTGTCTTAACTACAGAACTAGTAACAGGAGGTGGTTTAGTGACAGTGTCAAGCAATCTAGCCTGCTGCACAAATGTCCCCACATTTCCTACACCATCTAAAGCAGTCAGCTCCACTATGTGTGACCAGCAGGAGGCAGTGTAGGTAACCACTGTAATATTGTCACCCCCTGCCCCAATTGCTGTGGTGATATTCAGAGTACCATTCCCTTGGCGAATGGTGACCCTATCAATGCCAGTTCCATTGATGCCATCAGTGAAATTAGCGATTAACTCCCACTGGGAGGAAGCACAAAGAACTATTTTTAACAAAAATAATATGACGCAGTTGTTTTCTTATCAGTCCCTCATAGCTCCGTGAAGGAATTTTGCCTGTCTAAAGAATGTTGTTTGAGAAATCTTGTGGTTTGTTCAGATGCAACTTTGCAGATCTAATCTGTGCTGACATGTTCTTTTTAGAGATCAGATGCTTTCTCTGTCTTGAACTTTAGCATTTAACATGCATAATTAGGCCTGTAGAGTCTGAGGTTTAGAACTCGCATTATTTGCAGTTTTAGTCAGACCTTGAGGTGAATTTGCTTGTTTATTTGCTACTAGGAAGACTCTAATTGCACTGACACACAATTGAATGTTCCAGACCAGCCAACTGCCAAACCTTCCGCTTGTATAGATGGGGTTACAACTGCTGATTAATCTTGTGCATTTGTACAGTTGTACCTGGTTGGAATTTAATTCCTCTTAATTCCTTTGGAAGCAGTAAGGGTGTACTCAGTTTGTCACAGGACTGCATAGAGACCTGTGAAAACTTTGTTTTTCACATGATACATCATATACACAACAATGACAGTATTAATATAACAAATTCTCACTGTAACTTAATTTATTCATGTATTACTTTTGGCATACTTGCAACGATCCTTTGACCTCTGTGGAACCCGAGTTGTCAAGTGACAACTCAGTGACCTTTACTGTGTCACTTGCTGTCATAGTGATCAAGATGCTGGTATTACCATCTGAAAGAGCGGTGAAGTAAGAAAGGTAATCTACATGAATATCAGTGTGACATGTCCACTGCTAAATATAATTGTTTAAAATATGTCTGTGAGACCAAAGTAAGTGAGGAAAACTGATTACCACAAGAGAACTTTACAAACTATAAAAATGAACAAACAATCGCCATAAAAGTACCCTGACCTGAGAGAGGATGTCCTTCCTTAAGACTAAAGTCCCCATGGGCTCCGACAGACTCTTCAACAAGGTTATAAATGAAGTTCACTGAACTTTGACCTGAGTATGAAAGCACAACAGTAGACACAGACAAATAAAATCTTTGAAAAACATCTCATATAACTCAGTGGTTAAAAGTTAACAATAATAATACTGACCTGTGACCTTAACTAAGTAAGGGTTGTTTGAGCTAACACTGATTTGCCATAGCCCCGTTTGATTATCAGTGTAAATTATCAGCTTAAACGACGCAAGTTTCCTGCTCTGGTGACAGATGCCAAAGGCCCACTGGACTGATTGGAAGTCTGAGAAACACCTGGAGGAGAGGGATAAACAATTACAAAGATATTTTCAATATGATGATATAAGAGGTAAAAAAAAAAATGAAACAAATGCATCAAAAATGCATCTAAGAATTATTAAGAGACATTTGTGATGACAAAACCTGTTGGGCTGGTGAGGCTGAAGGTGAGAGGTGAGTCTCCTGTGATGTAAGCTGTTACATTATTTAATGAACCATCAACAGTAAAAGTAAAATTGTCAGGCCTTCCAGGATTCCTTGCTGCCTGAAAAACTGTCACCTAAAAGAAGAAGGAGAGAAACATCACATTTACTCACACAGTGTGATCGTCAGTCAGATATGATTCTCTTGATTGATGTCTTACCACAGCACTGGCTGATGAGTCTACTATAACACTGGTAGCCAGAGAGAGTTCTGACTTAGTGACCTGAATGGCCTGACCTCCAGAAGCTTCAGCTAGGTCTTGGTATAACTGGACAGCGGATCGACTCATTACACGTGAAGCCACACCCTGAGAGGTTCAGATAACGTTTGAGAGTTACATGGAGACAAATACTGTAAAAATAATCTGATGTTACATGCCAAAATGTATTATATTTTTTATATTATATTTTTCAGAGCAAGGATGGTATAAAGTTCACTCTTACCTGAGATTTGGTGCTCTCTATAAGAGCAATAATGGTGTTTTTAAGATAGGCGTCTTTAGCTGGAGCATCAGTGAAGACAAAAATCTCGGAGAAAGGTGGAGCTGCCATCAGTGCCAGCTTTTGTTTATATGTAAGGCATACAAAGTATCAAAGATTAAAAATTAATAATTCAAAATGCAAAATACAATCAACCACTCCGACTAAAAAGAGACATTTCTATCCACTGCAAATACACGTGTTTAATAATAAAAGTCAATCTCCTGGGGAATTTAAATCGAACTGTATCATAACAATTTGATGATACTCCATCTCCACCTTACAAAATTTGAATATGACTCTGTAAAATGTATCTCTGTTTATATCACCTGTAGTCCAGACAAGACCATTTCTGGGATATCTCCTCCTCCACTCATAACCAACGGCCCATAATATGCACATACAGTATAATGTAAAACATTTTAAAAGCTACTAAATTGTGCATTTGCCAAGCATTTAATTACAAACGGTGCTGCCATTTTATTCTTATTTATGTGAAAGTGAAAAAAAACAATTTTTTTTTCACAAGCAGCATAACTTTACAAGATGCTTTTCAAACATGTTCCTATTTAATAAAGTACAAATTCACCCAGTAAATGATCTACCTGGGTCATTGAAAGGTACCAATATGTAACCGGAGGGTTCCTGTCCTGTTCCTCTTTTTCTGTCAATGATCTCAAAAGAAACCCTCTTTGCTTCATCAATTTCATTTCTCATACTTCCTGTTGTGTCTATGACAAAACACAACACAGGAGACTGGGAGAGGCCCATCAGTCTGCAGAAACAAACATGAGAAAAATCAAACAAATAAATGAACAAAACAAAACAAAATAAATCTTGTTTCAAACAAATACACAGTTAATGTAATTCTGAATAAAGTCTAATTTTCTATAACAAGCGAAATAATTATTTGAATTTGTAAGTCTCTAATTTATAGCTTCACTTTAATAAAGTGAGAGAGAACATCAACCAATAATAACATTGCATTTAAAGTATAAATAGATTTTCATGTCACTGAGTGTAAGTTTTTGATCCCCTATGATGCAGTGAGAGTTTTTGCTTCTACATCGTGCTCATGTGGCACATAGATTACGATCCTTCAATCAATCACTCAATTTTTGATCTCAACTTGTTATGTGTAGAAAACACACATCTCCATAGAATAATCTTCTTCCATTCCAGCCTCTCCACCACCATGGGTAACCAGAGAGCTGCCGAAGGATGTCAGAGACAAGACTATAGGCCTGAACAAAGCTTGAATGGGCTGTTGGTTCACCAACCAAATGTTTAATGAGAGGGTGACTGGTGGTTGGATCATTCAGAAATGAAAAAAATAAAAAATAAAATTACCATCAAACGCCCTCTGTCTGGAGCTCAATGGAAAACATCGCCTCATAGGGTGAAGATGATCATGAGAAAATGACATGTGACCAGCTATGTAATAATCTGAAGGGGGAGCACAGTCACCAGGAAATGTATTGGTGAAAGCAGGCAAATGTACAGGCCTGTCTTAGATTTGCCAGGAAACACTTAAATTATTCAGAGAAAATGCTAAGGTCAAAATCAAGATGAAACCAAAATTGAGTTTAATTTCCATTGACTCGACCCACCTTATTTAGAGGAAGAGAAATGCTTAGTATAACCCAAAGAACACCATCGTCACAGTCAAGCAGGTGGAAACATTGTTCTTTGATGCCGTTTTTCTGCTAAGGGTACAGGATGACAATGACAATGTTGAAGATGGGTTTTGAATTGGTTGTCCATCATGACCAATGCAACAAAAAAGAGGGTAAAGAAGAAACAAATCAAGATCATAGATTTCCAGATTGTTGGTTGACATTCTGTCTCTCTCCATTAAAATTAAAGTACTATAAAAAATTAGAGACCGTTCATTTCTTTGTGAATGAGCAAACAGAAGGGGATCAAATAATAATTCTCTCCACCATACTGTCTTAGAGAAATAAGAGGAGTGGAATATTACAAGGTCAGGCCCAGGATGTCTGACTCACAGGGTGTACATGTACGTGTTGCTTGCTTGCTCAAGACAAGAGCAGATGGGGAGTGAGTTCATGACAAAATATACAAATGCTATATCGGAAAAATTTCATTGTTAGTCTTTCCTTTCTCCATGGTGAGTAAGCACATCATCTACATTTAGGGTTTAAGTACAGAACACAGGATGACTAACCATCACTCAACAATAAAGATTCCGGTTTCTTCTCTGCCCACAAACCACATTGGACTTGAGATATTAAGGAAGTAAGGGGACTTTCTACTAAGTCACTGCTTTCACATCTGCTTCCTGTTAAGCATGGTTAGGGGTTAGGTGTGTCCCTGAAAACCTAAAAATATCACCCTATTTTACCTACTAAATTGTGATCATCACCGGTCCCAATTCGAGTCACAGAGCTTGAACCAGCATTCATCAAAAGAGATGAATTAGAAATATTATTAGAAATAATCTGACACCAACAACAACAACAACAAAACAGGCAAAACACTCTTGCTGTTGCTGGCTCAGGCCTCTCCTTCCTCCTATTGTTGTTTGTGCCAGTTTCTCTTTTTCTAATGCATTAGTGAAAGAGCTCAAAAGGATTTGCCTTGTCAGAGTCTTATGACAATCACATCTCACATTGTTCTACGACTTTGACTGATGAGGCAAAAACGAAAACAAGATTTCAAAGGTAATCTCTACTCTATGGTGAGGTTAGTGAAATAACTAAGCTACCTTTTCTCATACACAAAGGTGCTGACACTCAATGGTGTAGAATTACATAATCAGAGATATCGCAAAAGAACAATACAGTATGTGCATAATTGTGCCAACTTGTAGAATTTTTCTTAGTTGAACAAAAACCCGTTTTTGAACTTTTGCCTCTGCACACCACCAAAGCATATAATAAATCAAGCTATCAAACTGAAAGTTCAATACTACAAAAGCACAGGGAAGCTATGTTGTGTTTTATGGGGTGGGACAAACTACTAGCACATACTTCTAGTGCTAGCCCCAAGTTCAGATAAATAAGCAGGGTTGTGTCAGGAAGGGCACTTGTCATAAAATCTTTGGTAAATCAAACCTGCAAAAAGTGGAATTTTCATACAGAATTGTTCTGGGCCTGGATTAACAGTGACTGCTTCTGTTGCTTTTGGCCAAGAGGAAGGAGATGAGCCAGGCTCTGGGTGGTAGGGAAGAGTTCCTAGATTACTGGGACAGTGGAGCTTAGGTGGCGAGGGAAATTGTCAGAAAGGTGTTTGGTGTATTCTCTGGACAGAGTATAGGAGACTTGGAGGTGGAATGAGGAAGTAAAGGAAAGTATTCAAAAGAAGAGTTTAGCAAAGAAAAAGTGGGATAGTTAGATAGATGAAGAAAGTAGACAGGGCTAGTGGGAGGCTAGGTGAACAGCAATGAGATAGATGTCATAGGAAAAGGCTTGTAATTAGTAATATGTGAGGCTGGACTCTAAGGAAGGAGAAAAGGGTCATTAAGTATAGAAATTAAGTGCCATTTGCTCACTGTTTGAGCAGGAAACCATATGCCCATAGTGACCTTTAGATTTAATCTGATTTAGTGCTCAGTTCAGATCAAAAATATTATAATAGATAATTTTAACATTGATGTAGATGCTGAAAACAACAGCCTCAACTCTTCAGTTAATTTAGTGTAAGACTCAGTTGGTATCGAGCAAAATTTAAATCAGCTCACACACTGCTTTAGTCTCACTCTGGAGCTTGTCCTGATATACTGCATAGAAACTGATTCCTCCACTGTTATCCTTTTAAATATGTGCCAACACATTTTATTTTTATGCTAGATTATCTTATTAATAAAATAACATACTCATGTGTTCAAACCCGAAATCTGTGGCTCTTCTGAAAAAGAAGGCAACAAATAAGAGATGCTTGACTCACAACTCTTAAAGCAGATAATACATAGGTTAACGATCCTCTAACTAGAGGATCGTTGTTTGGCCTTGAAAAAGAGGTTGGTATTCTATAACCCCCTCTATAAGATTTTCACTGAGAGAGACATGAAGGGACAAAATTAGAATGCGTGTATCAGAGGGACAGCTCAGGTAGAGCACTTTGGGGGAAAAGTTAGAGGCAAGGCTGAGATGGTTTGTACATGTGCAGAGAAGGGATAGTGGATACAAGAAATTGGACAAAGGTGTGTTGATATGCAGTGCGATGTTGATGTAATGATAAGGTTAATCA